AAACCCTAAACCTACCCATAGGCCCCTAAGTAGCTCCTTTTTGGGATTACCTTACAGGATTCTAGATATAAACCATAAAAAGGAACTACTTAGGGGCCTATGGGTGAACCCTACCTGGATCCTAAAGAACCTACATTTTTAGGGTCCCTTGGACTTCTTTATATAAGTCCTTCAAAGGTAGGTTATTTGGGGTTAAGGTAAACCCTACACCCTAACCCCTAAACCCTAACGTTCTAAACCTTAAACCCTAAAAGCCACAAACAAGTCAAGGGCTTAGGGGTTTTAAGGTTTACAGGGCTTGGATGTTATTTGTCTTCTAGGGTTTAGGGTGTGGGGTTTGGGGCTTTCGGTTCATGGTTTGTGGGGCTTAGGGTTTACAGGGGTTAGCTTTTAGTTTGGGTCTTATAGGTCTTGCAGGGCTTAGGGTTCATCGGGTTTGGGTTTGATCATGGGTCTTATAGGGTTCAGGCACAAGTACACGTCTTCGGGGTCTGATAGGGTTTGACAGGGTCAAGGGGTTTAATTGTGGGTCCTATAGGGCTTCGGGCTTAGGCTCAATGCTAGTGTAGGGCCTAAACCCTAAACCCTAAATCCTAGGGCTTTACCCTGAACCCTAAACCCTCAACCCTGTAAGGATCAAGTCAAGTCAGCGCTTTGCGCTCCGGAAGTCGCTGTAGACCAGGACCATGCGACTCCTGGCAGTGCTCGGGGCGGGCTTTTAGGGCTTGCAGGGTTAAGGATTAATTAATTAGGGTTTATACGGCGTTTAGGGTTTATAGGGTTGAGGTTTGATTTCAAAGTTGATCATTTAAGGGTTGTGGCGCAGGGCACAGGGCTTAGGTGTTCAATCCATAGAACTTCGACCGACCAATCCGTACTGCTTCCTAAGGTTTTTGTAGTGGCGCTGATGATCTTGCCGGTACAGTAGCTAGACCGCGACATCAATAACCCCGCAGTAAACTTCAGACTCTATAGACCCTAACCAACCCTGAGACACTGGACACCTAAGTCAGCCAAACATCCCCAATGCACCCCTAAACCCTAAACCAATCAAACAAAAAATTCCGGAGCCCTGACATAGCAGGGGGGCCCCTGAAATCGCAAGACTCTAATCGAACCGTCACCCCCTCACTTCTAGACCCGACGTGCCCTAAGCGCCCCAAATGCCCGAAGTGTCCTAAGATCCTAAACCCTACAAACCCGAAGCCCTAAACCTTAAACCCTAAACCCTGAGCCCCTAAACTCCCGTAAACCTTAAACCCTAAGCCTTAAACCCTAAACCCTCCTAAACTCCTCAACTGCCCTAATCCCTAAACCTTAAACCCTAAACGTTTAAACCCTAAACCCCTAAATCAAGGCTTTCGGAACCCATGCTCGCTCAGGCAGCGTGCTTCCAGCTTGCGACCGTGCTCGCTCGCATGGCCGTTCGGATCAAGGCTTGTGAAGTAATGGGGACATGATTTCAGATGATTCAGATGACAACTTCAGGGCGATAGGTTAATGATGAGTTCCGGTGCGGATGCAATGGCTACTGCTCTGGAGAAGCGTCTCAAGGAGACGGCTCCCTGGATTTTTCTGGAGGAGTATGCTTATGAAAGCTCGATCTTTCGGAGGGAAAGATATATTTACTGCTACGAGCACGGCCACTCGTTGCTTGCCGCGGCACTTGAGCGGGAGCCTTGACTTGGTCAGTTCTGTTTCATTTTCAGCAAGTGTTGGTCGGTATTATTGAAACAGAAAAGATTCGAGCTCCCTCAGGAAGGCATCGCGACGGCTTATGTAGATGGCCTGGAGGACAGCGAGGCCCTCACGACGGGTCGCGGCCAGGATCTATGCCTTTTGGTTGCACTCTGTCATTGCTCTGATTGCGGCATGGGTGTCTGTCAGCCAGCAGTACTATAACCCAGGTTTGCAAATGTGCTCCAGAGTGCTGCCGGGCGGGCTGGTTTATGTCATGCAGCTCGGTCTAGTTAATTGACATTGATGCTGAGTACGGTCCTGTAATAGAGACGACTGAGGCCGTTTTATGGTGGGATGAGCGAGGAGGACGTTCGCCTGGTGGTCGTGGCTCGCCTTGTGTTTGTACTTGGATTGCCTGTTTTTGCTTCGTCTTATGTTGTCAGTTGCGCTTGACAAGGGTAGTGAACTGAGGCCTTCCTGAGCCAGGTTGTTTTGCTGTGCAAGATGATCAAGGTCAGGATTGTGATCCAAACGACGCTGGAGCAGGGCCGCATCCTCGAAGCCGATGCCCTGCTGAAGGACCGGTGTGAACGAGGTAGTACATTGACTGTGGGTGAATAAAATTCTGGTAAGTATCGAAGTATTAAAAGTCAGTCTGTCATCTTTGTGCCCAGGAGTGCGCCGAGCGGTCGCAGTTTGCCAAGGCCTGCTTTCCCATGGTGGCCTTTGGCTCCCAAAAGCAGATTCTCATCGGCATTGGCTGTTTGCGGAAGTTTGTGCCAAGTCTGAGATTTTGTTTGGGATCATTTGTCATTGAGAAGCCAAGGTTCGTGACGATGGTTTGGGGAGATGATCGGCTCTTGGTGAAAGGGCTGAAGCACGTTGCGGGCCGGCTCCTGACAATGCTGCTTTATCGAAATCTAGATGAGTCTGCTTTTGATTTTTGCTCGCGAGCATGCCCTTTGCCTGCTGACGTCCTAATTTAATCACTTATTGGCCTCAGGTTCCGATCTTTGGGCAATCAGGTCATGGATGGCTTCAAGGGCCAGGCGGTGATCGAGGATCGAACGGCGACTTTTATCTATGCTGCAGCTCAGCCCCGTCATGTGATTTGTGTATGTGTGTGTCTCTGTCTGGGTGCACAGATTTTGGCTTGAGTCATGAGGTGACAGACATTACGCTTTTACGCCACCGTCGCACGATGAAGCAGCTGGTGGCGATGGACCTGTGCCAATTCTTGAATGGCTTGGCGAAAGAGCTGATGTTGCAGGCCGAATGGATTTATTAAAGCAGCAAGTTTAGGAGTAGTTTGTGTTGCCCGATTCTCGTTTATTACTGAGGACCTTGATGAAGTCTTCATGAGATCGAGCCGTGATGGCGATGTGGTGATACGTGGGAACGCACGTTTGACATTTGAGGCAAGGTTCTCTCTCATGCTAGATCCATGATGTTTCGCTGTTCGCGGGTCTATTGCATGGAAGAGCCCCGTCCCATCCTTGAAGGTCGAGCAGTTCTATGTCACTCGGCCACTCCCCGCGGCGGCCCCTCCGGCCCCTGCCGCGGCCGCGGCCCCTGCCCCGCCCCCCCCGGCCCCGCGGCTGCACAGAATGGGTTCCGATTCTGGGGTTGTGATTCCCTGGCTCTGTCGCTTTCGATCCTGCAAAGCTTTGCACTTGTGCTCACATGTGGTTTGTGTTGGGACGTGGCCGGACGGACTTTCCTGGGTTTTCTGAGGCTGCTGTGACCACGGCACCGGTTGGCCATGGCGAGGACCGCCCTCTGACTCTGGGTGGTTCGTTCCAGATTTGTTGAAGCAGTGGGTAGGAGCTTGAGCCAGGGATTTTTGAGCCTGGACTGGAATCCTTGGCATTGGCTGCCTTGAAGGCTTGGGAGACCTTGGACTGATGGCGGCTGATTCTTGATTCTTGGCTGAGAAATAATGTGGTTCAAGTCAACATGATATCCATGGCTGGTTTCCCACTCATACGCACAAGGGCACTGGCAATTGAAGGATATTATAAGTTGTGCACAAGTCATTAATCATCACCTGTATGGTTGCTTGGGCTTCGCAGTTGGGCTCGGTAGCAAAAGCACCGGGGATGTTTGTTCAGGTAATTACTAGTGCTACATGCGAAAACCTTGGAAAAATAGCTAAGTGACTAATTACTAATACTGGGTTATGATAATGAGCCGGATCCGAGCAAAGACTTGCCATACTGGACATAGGCACAGAATAAATAATAGTCACGCTCATCGGGGTTTCTGGAATAGAGCATGCTCTCCCAACTTTACCCAAACGATTGGATTCCTGTGAACTCCCAACAGGGATTTGAGCTTCCTCAAGACGAAGCCAGAATCTTAGCCGTCATAGCTTAGCACATATATACCTGAACTAACCCTCTTATTTTGAGCCTGTTGCCCCTGCCACCAGCATCCCTTACGAGGACTCGTGTCTTCGCATGGCTTGATACTGGCTGGCTATGTGGACGATACTGGTATTATGCCAATTTAGAATGGATGTGCCTTGGCCTCGAATCAATTCAATATCGGTCCTTCGGACCGTATCTCGGCAACTCCTGCTTTTTTTTCCCGGCTGATGCTTTTCTGCAATTGGGACCAAGCATGCTTTGGGCTGTGTCGTTGGCTGGGTTCTGTCTGACACCTCCGCATTATCCCAGGCAAAATGGTGCTGGCTTGGGTCTCGACTGGACTTCGAGCCTAGCAATTCGTTGCGACTCGGGGCACTCGGGTTGGGGTTCCAGGTTACATAGGTTAAGACTGTAAGGTATTTGTTATTTACTGACTTTATGAAAAGACTGGGGCTGGTAATATAATACTTTAGTATTCGTAGCCTACGCCTACACCCAATGCCCCGGGGCTCCTCTCTTCCAACCCTGTTCTGAAGCTCTGGGCCCTTTAGCTTTCGCTTACCTGAACCGACCCAGCCCACGCACTGCCCAGCTTAATTGAAGCCAGCCGAAGCCAGCTTTGCCCCGAGTGCTCGCCGTAGTCGTCTTGATCCTGGACGAAGCGACGGAGCTAAAAAAAAGGATTGAGTTCCGTTGAGTGCTACGCAGTAGAGACTCCGAGGTGGCTTTCATGTTGTGTCGCACACTGTCTGGAAGACTGCTTGCATCGCTGACGATTGGTCGACTTTTGCAGTGATTGGGCACAGGGAGCATGCACGCAGCACTTCATGCTACAATCCACACACACACACACACACGCATAAGCTGACAGCCTGGCTTCGGGGTTTAAGCTTCTGCCCTTTCAATCCTGTGGGTTTGCTGTCAGTGGACTCAATCCCAAATCCGAGCTGTGGGGACTACTTAGACTAGTTTCTTGCCCCTGCAATCACGATTGCGGTTGGCTGTGGAGTCATGGTGAAAGTGAACCCGAAGACACTCACGAGGACAGCACTTCACGCATCGCTTGCTTGGCTTGTAGTGCCCGCCAGAATCACTCATAGCTTGGATCGGTCCTCATTCCTGTCTCTGCAGGAGCAACTCCGCCAGAAGCATTGCCCCTGCCGTTGAGGCTACCGGTGACGAGGAGCCCCCTTCTGCACGCCACTTCCTGATGAGCACGGCCCGGAGATCGCTTGATGAAGCTTTTGCCGGGGGAGCTTGGGATGCAATGTATGACGCTTGCGGCATGTGTCACTGAGTCGGTCCGTCACGTCTTATTCAAACTTGCTCCCTCAATTGTCAATACTTAGCCTGCAACACAATCTCAGGCAAAGCCAGCGAGGCTGACAAGAAGGACAAGAAGAAAAAGAAGGAGACCCGGACCAAAAGCTCCAAGAAGGACAAAGGCAAGAAGAAGAAGAAGAAGAGCAGCCCGTCTTCAAAAAATCAGACTCGCACATTCGTAATTGCAGCAAGGCCCTTTGTCCGACTGCATGATCCGAGGCAGCGATTCCTCCAGCAGCGGCCCGGAGGACTCCACCTCTGTCCTGGAGTCTGAGGATGTTGATGATTCTGCGGCTCTGTTTGGGCTGTCGCGACGGGAGCTGCAGAAAGGTGACGATGTATACAAGCTAGATGATCTCCCGAGCAAGCACTTGGGCTTCGTGGTGTCGCATGTGAGCGAGCTTGTGGGTGCCGCGGAAGTTTATGAATGTGGGGGGGAGCTGGAGCCTTGGATTCCGTTTGGTTTCGGTTGGGCATTGCTGGGACAATTGAGTTACTAGGGTCGTAGGAACTAAATCTGCATAAGCTAATTACTCCGGTTTCGTTATGCTGGCTGGCTACGAATGGGTGCTTGTCTCTGTATGTTATTGATATTCGTTCCTTCCTGGTCCTCTGATTGAATTGTACCCACGCGATCTATCTTCCTACAGGATTTAGGGGGTAGGGATTTATGGGCTTTAGTAATTTAATTCTATGAATTAATTAATTATTAATTAGTTAATTAATTTATTAATTACATAATTAATTAATTAATTAATTAATTCATTAATTATTTAATTAACTAATTAATAACAAATTATTTATTTATAGGCTTCCGGCTTAGGGTTTATTAGACTGCTAGTTTTATTTAAATAATTAATAACAATAAATAAATAAAATAAATAAATAAATAGATAAAGCTTGGGCTTTAGTATTTTAGGGTTTGGTAGAATAGTCGGTTTAGTATTTAGGGTCGGGGCTTGCAGTCCGCGAGGTTTTCCACCGTAGTTCCTAGACTGTATTATTATTAATAACAGGCTTTCCGGGGTAATGTGACAGGGAATGATTGGGCTTGTAGTCCACCAAAAATTAGCGAAACACATTGGTTGTTGCTTCGTTTTGCCTGTAGTGTGGAGGGGGGGCATTTCAGCGGGGGGATCAGGACCGACCCTGTGAACTTAGACAAAAATATCTACCCGTACTTATCCAAGAATAGCTGGGGATAAAACTGCTACTCTTAATCTCCAGGTCTTGTGTTGTCGTTGGGGTTTCCTGGATTATGCTCGAGTAGTGGTGTCATAAATACAGCTCAAATTGAGTTCGTTCCCTTGGCGACAATCACCCATACGACCCTGCCCTGGCTTCTCGTGTCACCTATGCCCAGGAAACCCTGCTGGGGAATCGCGAGAAGAAGGCCTCGCGGCAACGCCAGAAAGAGGAGAAGGAGAAGTTTGCCTTTGAGGCTCGCACGGAATTCGGGCCAAGTGCTTTCCAACGATAGTTCGCGAAGTTTATCCTGGGATGGATTGGGTTTAGTTATTAAATTTCAGTTACATAGCAGTGTTGGTAATTGCGAGACGACTAGCAAGCGACTCGGAAATTTGGGATGTCTACCTTCGGGGCTTCTGGAATACATGTGTTGGTGGCTTCGTGTAGTGTCTGGCACAGATAGCTTTGCAAACATTGGAACGCAGACAGCGAAAGCCCAATTTAGTGCTCGAGAAACCAAGTGCCGAATCCGGTTCCCGGGATCAAAGCAGACTTTCGAAGTCTGATAGGTAGAGATTGGTGTGTTGGTTGCATTCATCGCCAAGATACTACCGTTGACCGTACTGATTGTACACCGAACGAAGTTGAACAAAGCTCCTCTTAGAGAATGAAGACCCGACGAATAATAATGAATAATGCTGAACTAACAAGGACCCCTAGGTCATGCAAATTCAAATAGACCTAAGGTTCTACTACATAACACCCATAGATAAAGACTTCCGTTCGTCAGCAGGGTCGCACAGCCTCGACGATCTGGGCAAAGCGGATGAGCGACCTCGTGATTGCTCGTGGCTTGCCAAGGATGATTCAGAATTCAGGCTTTCTCATAGAGGGGGCGAGGGTTAGGTTGTTTGTGGGGTTGTTATGGAAATGTTGATTACTCATCTGGTTGAATTGAAGTAAGTTAAGTTAACTAATTTGATCTAAGTCCACTAGTCTGGGCTTTGCTTGGATACTGCTGGGGCTCTGCAGGGGGGGGGTACCCTACTAGCCTACTAATAATAACCCTAAATAACCCTGACTAACTAAAACCCTAAACTTTTTTAAATATTGTAAATTACCGTACTACTAATCTTACTAAACCCTAAACCCTAAACTCAATTAAATTAAACCCTATTATAGAGTATGGTCTAAGTCTGCTTAAACCCTAAATTAAAATACTAAATAATTAATTAATTAATAACCCTACATAATAACCCTAGCCTAAATAACCCTAAACCCTCAACCCCTAAACCCTGAACTGCAGAAACCAATGGACGAAGAGCCCGCCCAGTGCCCAATGCCCGGCACCCCCTAGGCTGAGAAAGCATCGTGAGAATAATATTAATAATGAACTGACAATAACAATGTCTGTTCTTATGCCTGTCCCAACACGAACGATCTCACGCAACATCAGCCGAGTCACGGGGCGAGCGCCGGCGAACATCTCTGTTGGCAACGCCAAATCCTTGAGCGAGATCTCGGCTGTGCTGCGGCTTCTGTATCGCAAGAACGTGAGGCCCCGCCGAGATCATGTGCTTAAATTCCTGCAGTTCTCAGCTACCATAATAATGCAATTAATCCGGTAAATAAATAAATAAATAAATAATAAATATATATATATATACACACACATATATTGTGAGCTTCAAGCAAATTCCCAGCAGCCCGACAGGAGGATGGATGATGGAAAGAGGGCTTTGGCGAAGAAGGTGGCTGCCATCTTGAACAAGCACCGGGAGGCTTGGTCCTAGCAGGGTTTCGGGTCTGAGGTTTCAACGATTGCTTCGTGACGACAGCTAGGCTACTGGTGAATCGATGGCAAGTAAATCTCGCATGCTACCATTGGCCACTGGCTGTTGTCGTACCGACACATAGTTTCTTCTGCTGCCCTAAACCATGCAGCTGATTGCCTGGCGAGTTGCGAGGCAGCCACCCAAGATCTGAAGCAGCAGCTGGGCCAGCAGAAGAAGATGGTGCTGCCTCCGCCGAAAGGAGCGAAGAGACCCCCCGAAAGCACCGGCGAGGCCAAGCCTTCGAAAAAACGTCCGAGGCCTACTACGAGGGGCGGCGAACACCAAAAGCTGCAGGCCATCCGGGACAAGGACCGCGACCCGGAACCGGAGCACAGCGGCAAGGAGGACGGGGATACCAAGGACGAGGAGGACGAGGAGTTTTTGGGCCCCAAGGATGTCCCGAGCCCTCCGAACAGCGGCGACGACATGGACGAGGCCGAGGACGACGAGGTGGTCGAGTCAGAGGAGCTGGACCGCTTTCTGCAGGAAAGCGATGAGGATGCAGATGTGTTTGCCGGCGACTTCGCTGTGAAGACCAAGAACGAGGAGAAGAAGGAGGACGAGGAGACGACGAAGGCCGTCCCCGCGAAGGTCCAGCAGTACCTGGAGAAATTGGACAAGGACCTCGTCTCCGTCATCCCCAAGGATCTGACTGAGCCCTCCTGTTGCACCTAGTTGCTGTTTTTTTGCTTGTGCATGCTCATGCACACCGGCTTTGCACCGCCGAGGTCCGACTACGCGAACTTTGTGCGGCTGCTGAACGCCGAGGGGCTGCTAAAACTGGATGATATCAAGGCTATTTCGAGCCTGCCAGGCTGCTTCTCTTCTGCAGAATATTAATAATATTAATACAGTTGATGTTGCACGGAATCAGAATGGCACATCTTTCAGTTGTTCCAAACTGACATACAAAGGTACGATATCGGGCAGCCTCGGCCCGGGCAAAGGCTTCTACAACAAGCTCTCTATCAAAGCCAAAGCGGCATTGGACCCGTGGGGTCAGAGGATTCAAAATGGGGAGGCGACGTGCTGGCAATTATGATCTTTTGTGTGTGTGCTATTCTATAGAGTCACTAGACTAGAGCTTTCGATGACTTCTACCAGGCCTTCGCGACTCCCAGCCGGCGGCCAACGGGAGCTCCAGTGGGCAGCGGCTGAGCTGTTCCTGGACTGGAATCTCAGGATTGGGCCCACGGGGGCCTGGTTCTGCTTTGAATTTCAAGGCTGAAGGGCCTCGGAGATGACGATGCCTCCTGGGTTCAATGCTCGCTGTACTTTATGGCTTAGGGCCTAGGAGCGAAATAGTTTCCTGCATAGGGGTAAGTAATAAAAGTTATCAGCCAAGGCTGTTGTGCACTAACTTTCTCTTCTTCGGGACATAGCTAGGACCTGAACTTAGGATCTCAACTGCTGCAGGCTTCCCTAGAGGATTCTTGTCATAGATTCTATGAACTTTTGGAAGGGCTTCTGGGTACGACTTGTCTCGGTTTTGATAAGTAAGTAAGTAGTATCTAGAATCTAGACAGTGGTAACAGACTTCATTCATGGTAGCTGACTCTACTACTCCCGGAATGAAAAACCTCTTTGGGACGCAGGAGGCTTGAGTCTTCGGTTTTGGGGCCCGTGCCGAGCCGGATAAAAGCTCCTCTGGATCCGGCCCCGTGAAAAGGATGAAACTGTCAGCTCGAGTTTCGTGTGCTGTCTGTTGTCGAATCGCAGCTGAAGTTGCTCCGTGAGCTTGCAGCACCGACGTGGGATGCCGTGTTGCAGGCTCTGGCTGGCGGTCCATGACACATGTGAATCCTGCATAGTCTAAGTGCTGGAACGAAACCCTAGCCTAGACTAGACTAGACATAGACAGACTAGTACTAGAGGACCACCGACCGAACACCCCTAAACCCTAAACCCCTAGAGGACCACCGACCGAACACCCCTAAACCCTAAACCCTAAACCCTAAACCCCGTCGGGAAGCCCGATCAGTCTAGTGGCACATCGTACATCCAAATCTACATGGTTGATTAAATTAATAAATGGGTCGACCTTATATGGTAGTAACAAATACAAGTGGCGAACCAGCCAAAACCTTATAACAATTCGTCCTCGTGCTCCACCCACACGACACAACAGGTGGTAATCATAGTGACTGATCCCACACTCAACATACCCCTTACTTACTTACTTACTTACTTACTTTCTTTCTTTCTTTCTTTCTTTTGTTAGTTATTTATGCAGCCCTGACCACTCGGAGCCCGAATTATGAACGAAAGCCGCCTCCAAGCTTCAACTTTAGTTTTTTGCCGGAGTGCATTCGTGCCAATTCGTGCTCCTGGTCCTGGATCCATCCAGAGCTCCTCGGCCGCAGAGCAGAGAGACGAGAGTTAGTAAATTAGGGGCGGGGTTGGTCCGGACTGGCTGCCTTCCATGCATAATAGTAGAGACAATTAGAAGGGACAGCCGGGAGCAGCGGGCCAGGGTTCGGGCTGGGTTCAGGATTGGCCGACTGGTCTCGAAGAGAAGAGTAGAAGGGAATGCCTGGTCCCGACTTATTATAGAAAGGGTTTTAAAGGGTTTCTAAAAAGGACTTAAGAATTGGGCTGTTTCTGCTAGGTTTCCGTGCTCGCTCGACCGATACGTGCTCGCTCGACCGATACGTGCTCGCTCAGCACGAGCGTGCTCGCTCGGCCGGCACGCACAGGCACCTGCACGCACGTTGTCGGCACAAAAAAGTTTGCGAGCACCATGCCCCTCTAGATCCGGGCCATCGCCCCTAAAGGCACATTCCTCGAGGCATCCTCCGTTTTTGAACGTGCTTGCTCGAACTGGCGGTCTAAAGGAACAGCGTGCTCGCAAAGAATTTTGTGCCGACAAGCTGTCGCACGGTGAACGCACGAGCCCACTACCCATCCCACCAAATTCAGCAAGCACGATTCCGAATCCGAGGACGAGCCGTCTATGGCCGGTGTGCAATGGCTGGGGGACAGGCTCCACGAGCTGTCCCAGTGGCTTGGCTACGCAAATTCGTGCTCGCTCAGCCACGAACGTGCTCGCTCAGACTTGTAATTTGGCTGGGCTCTTGTCCTCAGGTTAGAGCATGGATCAGATGCTCGAGGCAAGTTGCTCCAGAGGCTTTATGACAAAATCTCCTTTGTCGACGGCTGCTTCCTCGCCGACCGGAAACTCGGCGAAATCGAGCTGGACCCGCAGAGCTGGGAGGACAAACTTTATTTGTTATCTGCTTCCTATGGAAGGGAGACACAATAAACAGAAGAAGAGTCGCAGACCCAGACGGGCAGAGAGAGAGAGAGAGAGATGTATACGTCATATGTATGTAGACAAACATAAATATATGTGCATATTTATAGAGGTGTGCATATATATACATATATATATATATTTAGACATGCATGTGTGTGTGTACATATCTATCTACATGTTTTGCCTGTACGTGTATATATATATATATGTATACGTGTAGGTCTAGACATGTGGATATAATATATACACATGTCTATTGTACATGAATATACATGTGCACATGCATATACACATGTCTGTGTATATATTTATATATAGACACAGACATATACATATATATATACATGTCTATACATAATATCTATATCTATATATATATATATTTGTGTGTGTGTGTTTAAGTATTCTACATACACAGAAGCACAGATTAATCTACATGGTCGACAAGCAAGCCTGCCACGCACAGTTTAACGAACACCCCAAATGCGAAAGCAGCAGCAACAGCAACATTATCAAGACTTAGAACACTAACACGAACAACCACAACAACAATACAACAACAACAACAGCAGCAGCAGCAGCAGCAGCAGCAGCAGCAGCAACGGTTAACAGCAACAGCAGCAAACAACAACAGAAACATTATCAATACCTAAGAGCAATAGCACTAACCACAAAACGCAGCAGCAACAGCAACAACAACAACAGCAGCAGCAGCAGCAACGACAAAAACAACGACGACAACAGCAACAGCAAAACAACAGCGGCAGCAGCAGCAGCAGCAGCAGCAACAAACAGCAAGAGCAACAGTAACAAAACAACGACAGCAACAGCAACAACACCAACAACAAGAACCACAAGGAAGCCACACACACACACACACGCACAAATACGCAGTCACACTTGCTTCTTCCTTCCCTGGAATCAATTCTTCGTCACTATCTGAAAGTAGTAGAGTTGTCACCTGCTTGCCTTCGTAGGATTCATTGGCTACGCATCGTGCCGCCGCTGCCAAGCAGATGGTCTATTATAGACCAAGGATCTTTCAGAAGGAAGCAGTGGCCCAGGCGCCGCCGCAGATGATAATGGACCAGGACGGCGAGTCCCAGTCCCAGAACAGCAGCCCTCCCAGCTCCAGCAAGAGCTTTGTGCCGACGGAGATCATGTACTTGAGATCAGAGAATGCAGTGCGGGGTGTGCTGCAGCTGCACAGGGTCCCTTCATGCAAGGAGTCATGTCACATATCATTGGCCAATGTCTTTAAAAATCAACGATATTGTGTGGCTGTTCACTTGCGAGGTTTCTGAGCCTCTACAAGGATACAAAGTTCTTCTACGTGCAGAAGAAGTCTGGACCCTCACCACAAGATCTCAGCTGTATTCAAATTTTTTTCGAAACTGAAGCTTTGCTGCATGTAGCACAATTCATGCGAGTTGGTGCCATCAGTGACTGCTTTGTCCTACCAATACATTCATTGCTGTGCTATCCAAGGCAAGACGGCCAGGGTATGGATATTGCAGAAAGTTGGAGAATCGATGTGGATACACACATGATCAGGAAATCCTCTTACAAGGGGCACGGCTGCAAAGTTTCCTCGGATAGACTGAAGATACCCTTTGAAGGGTTGACGATTCCGGGTGCCATTTTCACGGTGGCTCGGACTCTAGAAGAAGCTTCGTTTCGGGTGCCGTTACCAGGTTTTGCCTTCGGAAAGAAAACCGCTGAAACACCCCCAGGCATCCTACGTCCTGCAGACGAGGGGCTGCCGGCCCGAAGTGCAGAAGGGTGCACTTGATTGCCTCGGTGTGATTCTTGGGGCTTGTGTCAGTGGGAGCCTCCAGATTCCTTTGCTCCCCAACAAGAGGGAGTGTGACTCGGATTGATTCAGGTCAGTGACAGAGTGAGAGGGACGGAGACACAGACAACAGTGAATAAATAAGAATAATAGCATAGACTAGATAAACATAGTAATACCAAAAGCGAAGAACAATAACAAACGCAGATAGCTACCGGGCTGCTCTTGGGTCTCCTGAACTGTCACTGGAATGGTGGCCTTGAGGCATTGCTGTCACTGCTTGCGAAACACTGGTTCTACATAACTTCAATAATAATTCCTAATCTCTAACCCAAATCCCCAAACCCTCATACACGCTTAATGTCCTAAACCAAAAAAGCCTTAACTCTACCTTTGTCATCGCTGGCTCTACCGCCTCTTTGTCTGTGTCTTTCATTCGCTCTCCTTTGCTCGCTCGCCCATCGAATCCATAGCTTCTTGTTGGTTGTCAGGTACATTGGAAATTTCTGATGGCCATGTCACGCTCCGGAGCTGGAAGCGATTCCTGGATTATTCTGGCACCATTCAGAGGCTTCTCTCGAATTGGAATTAGGGAGCTTCGCCGCAGCATCCTTGACTTCTGCAGGTGGCACCACTGCAAGCAGCTCAGCCCAGCCGAGCAAAATGTCGACACAGGCCCCAGATACAGACTAGCTTGCATGCCGTGCTTGACAAGGAAACAAACCGTGTCGTTGATTTCCAGGCATTCGTCTGGCTTCGGCTACGTGGTTCATTCTTCGGCAGCCTCATCAGGACAACTTCGAGGACAGATTTTGTTCTGACCTCCGAAACCCTATCCCCAAATAGCTTACAATCTCTCCCGCACTCTCCCCCTCCCTCTCTCTCTCTCTCTCTCTCTCTCTCTCTCTCTATCCTTCTTCTCGCCCTCTCTTTTTCTCTGTCTCTCTCTCTCTCTCTCTCTGTCTAGTCCATATAATAATAGTTTCAATAATATATATTTATATATAATACACACACATATCTCTCACTCGCTCTCTCTTGCTCTCTCGCTCTCTCTTGCTCTCTCGCGCTCTCGCTCTCGCTCTCTCGCTCTCTCGCTCTCTCGCTCTCTCGCTCTCTCGCTCTCTCGCTCTCTCGCTCTCGCTCTCTCGCTCTCTCGCTCTCGCGCTCTCTCGCTCTCGCGCTCTCGC